TCTGGCCGGTGTGGCTCAGTTATTAAGCGTCGTCCTGTGCACCGAAAGGCTGCTGGTTTGATGCCTGGTCAGGGAACATGCCCAGGTTGTGGGTTTGATCCCTGGTAGGGAGTGTGCAGGAGGCACTGGTCAATGTTTCTCTCTCTCTCCCCCCATCTCTCTTCTTCTCTCTCAAAATCAATAAAAATAAAATATAAATAAATAAAAGAAAAAAGAAAAGACTGTCCAATGAAAAAGAGCAGTAAGCTGTTACTTTGGTGACAAGTTTCATTTCCACAGATAGTCCCTTTCTCAGCGTCAGTCTGCACTTGGTTTCCAACACAGACAGCGCCCGCCTCCAACCTGGGAGCACTAGACACTGTGACTCGGGTCCTAGAACTTCAATCTCAGTCCAATGTTCACGAGCAGCCTGGGCAGAACACTGACCGTCCACATGGAGCCGGCATCGCAGTACCAGCTCCTATAGACTCTGGATTCAGAGCGAGGTGTGGCTTCTCTTCACCACGCCTCTCTCCTTCCACAGAGTCAGGCTTTGGTTTGGGGCTGTCACCGAAAACGCCAGGCCTCGGGCCCCTCTGGTGACGCCCCTCGGCACAGGCTCTGGCGTCTGAGCTCAGCAGCCGCAGCTTCGCGGGGATCCACGTTGACACTGTGCCTGGAGCCTCCTGCCAACACTGTTGTCGGGGGAGAGCAGGCCAGCAACTTCCCAGATTCCCAGTAGGTGCTTCCAAGCCTTCCCTCACCTTCTGCCTCACCCACCCAGACAACAGCTGTGGGCATGTGGGAACCGGCTTGTTTTTCAGCCACGAGGGTCCTAAGTGCTCGCCTGCTCGTTCACTGGGGACGGGGGACCCAGGGAGCAGAGCGAAGGGGCCGGGAAGCTTGCTTCCCGAATGTGAGCCTCTAACAACTAAACTCACTGAGAAGGACTGGGAGCTGCAGAGGAAGCTCTGTGAGGGGACCGCACCTCTGAGGCACATCGTGGCTGCAGCGCCCCCGGCAGGCCAGATGCAGGAAAAGCCACAGGACCTCAGCAGGGGTGTCAGCACCGCACAGCTGGTGGCTGATGCGGGTGGAGAAGAGGTCAGAGGGGCCTGGCTCCTAGGAGGAGAGTGACTTCCAGCCGAGTGCAAACTGCCCGGTTTCTGGGTTTCTGTCATGCACATGCGCGAATGACAGAAGGCGCAGTGAGAAATAAGGCAGATGCCTGGGTGAGACACAGTGATGCTCCTGAAGATAAGTGTCGGGCATGTGGGTTCGCTGCATGGGAGGCCTGAGCCTGACTTCCTACTTCAGGGCACGGAAGTGTTGGCTGGGCTCGGGTCCCCGCCGGCCAGGGGCTGGGATTCAAGCACACTCACCTCCCGGCCAGAGGAAGTCTCTGAGGAGCCGTGTGCACTCGCCTCTGTGTGGCAACCCCTCTCCTTTCTCGTTTCTGCCTTGACTGCCAGGGGACTCAGCTACATGCTGTGCTACATGCAAACCCCTGATACAGTCTGGGTTTCCAATAAAACTGTTTCAATTTCCCTCATGTTTTTCCTACTTTCTTTCTTTAACTTTTTAAAAAATATATTTTTACTGATTTCAGAGAGGGAGAGAGAGATAGAAACATCAATAATGAGAGAATCATTGATCCCCACACTGGGGATCGAGCCCACAACCCAGCATGTGCCCTGACTGGGAATCATACCGCAACCTCCTGGTTCATGGGTCGACGTTTAACCACTGAGCCACCTGGGCTGGGCTCTCTCTCACTTTTAACTGCACAGTTGTATGTGTGTTTATCAGCTACCTCAAACTAGCCATGAGCTATTAACACAAATATTCATGACAGATTACCTCTTGTGCAAGGACACAATTTTTTAAGTAAGGCAAGACCATCAAAAAATAAGTATTAGATCTCTCTCCCTTCCTCTCTGTAAAAAATCAATAAAATATATTAAAAAAAAATAAGTATTAGGACCTTAACTCCTCCCCCCCTTTTTTAACCAGGATCTTACACTCTATAGTCCTTTTTTCAGGTTATGCTCCCTTTCACAGGGGTGTCGGGAGGAGGAGGCTCCGCTGCCCTCTATGCCAATTTCTCACAAACCCACAGCCCCACCTGCCTCAACTGAAAACGAGTGAGTGAGCCGTGAATGGCAGTAGCTGCCACGGAAGCCACAGCGCAGTGACGCAGAGTGACCAACTGTCAAGGACCACACAGTGTGTCCTACAAGCAAGAGTGTGCACAGAGACTGCGATCAATGTTTGATTCCCTTAGAGATTTCCTTACGATAAAAAGAAAGGTCGGGGGTTAAATATATGATGATGGAATGAGAACTGATATTGGGTGGTGAGCACACCACGCAATATACAGATGATGAATTATAGAATTGTGCACCTGAAACTTATATAATCTTACTAACCAATACTGACCCAATAAATTCAATAAAGTAAAAAAGAGAAAGAGAACCGACACATCATTTTATCACTTGGTATCAAATTTCCTAAAAATTGTTTTGATTTTTGATATTGTTAATTCCACATACCTGCCTCCAATTATTTTTTGCATGTTCAAGTAAATAAAAACTTCAACATACTAAAATAACACCTTTTCCTGGGCTATGAACTAATGTGATAAATGAATAAAATAAAATTGTAGCCCTAACAGAAATACATTCATTCAAAAACTTATCCTGGAAAGACCAGAGTGTGGGTGATCTTGTGAGAACCCAGGAGGCTGCCTCTGGACCATCTGGAGCGGCCGCTGCCCCCATCGCAGCAGAGACAGGACAGCAGAGGTCAAGGCCACGCCTGTGGGGGCAGGTGTTCACGTGCCTCGTGCCTGTGGAAGGACCTTCCACAGAAGGAAGTCTTTTACAGCAGAACTCCCACAATGGGAATGGGCAGCGGTCCAAGGATACTGATGCGTAGGTGCATCTTACCTAAGAAGGGGCACCTTTCCAGGTTAAGAAACCAAATGTCATCCCTCAGCTGCACGTGCTGGTGATGCGTAGACATCAAACAATAAGGAGAAAGCATTACTGGACACCTCAAGGAGGTTCCCCAGAGGGAAACGCGTCCGGTGGCTAAGTTCTGAGCGGTGATGAGTCTCACACGACAAGGTCTGTACCTCCCTCAGGTTACCGCTGGGGAAGGTGCCCATGACGTTAAATAGGTGGTGGTGGTGGGGGGGACTGCACCCGTGTCTGCACTGGGAGCCGCTCTCCACTCTCCCCCGCCTTACATCCCTAATGAACTACTCCCATTAAAAAAGTAGGAATTCTAACAATGACAAACAAAACAGCTCATGGTAAAAATTATAACATTAAGGAAAGTCAGGTAAAAACTTTGTTGAAACATCTCCGATTTGGATGTTTCTGTGAACCCTCCCTACAATTCCGTCTGCCTCGTTCCTGCATATGACCGGGTGCTCTGCGCCACGTCAGCATCCGTCTCGCGCCAGAGCCACCCTCAGATCACGCCCAGCCCAGGCGAGGCCTCCTGCAGGGAGGATTCTCGGAGGCTGGTGGGCTGCCTGGGACACATGGCAGCTGACGGGCACCTCGGTAGGGACGTGAGTGTCTGAAACAATTCCTAGGAAACGTCATAATTTTTCCTGTAAAACTGTGATTATGAAATATCTAGCTGACACTTAATTAAAACTTTTTGTTATTTAATCATTTTTAATAGTATGATAAAGTTTAACTAGTGACTAATCAAGAGATGACGAGGGGAAAATGAGATTTCACTCATGGCTTGCTAACCTGTTTCCCAGTGAAAATACCAGGTGGTTTTCCTAAGACTTTTAGATTAGATTTATATAAACACTCCTGCATACATAGCACAAATTCTTTAACTATTTAAATCACATAGTTCAATCATTTACTCTTTCGTACAGTAATAACACTAATATAATAAATCAACTTTAATATTTTAAATCACAAAATTTCCTTAAAAAGAGACCTTGCTATTCCTTTGGTGCATACATAACGGAAGTCTGACAATCCTCCACCACGGATGCTTGTTAAAAACTCCGGCCTCCTTAAATGCTATATGGGAACCTAAGGAGTCACTTTCCCCGATTTTACTAGAGGACATTCAAAATAATTGCTTGATTTCACCCATAAGTTCGTGTTCAGCTGGAAGGACATGAATGTGGAAGTGAGGGAGGCCGCCCTGCTGCTGAGGGCACACCTGCTTCGGCATCTGGGCTGTGGCCCGTGCCCTGGTCTCCAATGGTCTGTCAGGTGGGGTGACCTGGGTCCAGCAGCCCAACGTGAAAATCAACTAAAAGTGTGTTACAGCCTGTGCACACTTCACTCATCACAACGGAAACTCCACGGAAGGGGGAGGGGGATGCTCAGTGTCCCAGAGGAGACCGCCCTCCCCCGACCACCCACGCCTCAGGTGTGCGGACAGGGCTCCGCTGTGATGCGTCCGTAGCAACCATGACTTAGCCACCTTGAGATGCTCCCACACCCTCCTCTCTGACACGCCTGAGTCCCAGGATTTATGAGGACAACATGGTCCTTTAAAGCCCAGACTTCTGGGGCAACCAGCCCTGTTTCCCTCCCGGCACCGCCCCTCAGCTGCCGGCACTGGGGGCTCTTGTCCTGGGACAAACTGTTCCATTAGGGAAGCCACGCTCTGCAGGGAGCCCTGAAGGCCACACTCTGATTTAGCATCTGTGATTTATGCCCTGCAGCTCCGGCAGGAGACATGGGGGGGAAGCCTCTCAATGTCAGCGGGGAGGGTGTCAGCGCCGTCCCCATGCGCGTGGCAAAGGGCCTTCAGACTGGCCTTCATTTATGTCGTCGTACGTATGATCATAAATTTGCCCCTGAAATAGGAAGAATGGCTCACGTGTTGAGAACTTGTAAGAGACCAATGACCGGGCTCCTGTCCGAGGGAGAGCACAGCGTCACTGCTCTCCGAGAACAGCTGCCCACCACCGTCAGCAGTGGTCGGCCCCCAAGTCACCTGAGACGTACAACGTGAACGAACGCGGGCATTACCTTCTGTGTCTTGCATATTTGCCACTAACATGGCCGCTGCCATCACAGCCGGGCGTGGGACAGCTGCAACGGGAAAGAATGAATTACACGGTGCCACATGCCGCAGGCGGTTAGACCGAGAGCGTCAGTGACAGGACAGAGAAGGAGGGCCATACAGATGGACAGGGAAGTGCAAACCTGGAGGGGCGGTTAGGGGTGCTTTTCATTAGTGAGTCTCAGGGGAGGCAACCGCATCAGGGCAGCGGCTGTGAGGAGACCCATGCACTTGGATGTACAGTCTGGCATGAAACGCCCGTACTTCCCACACTGCGAATGGGGACACATGTACCCACAGAGCACTGACCTGAACAGCTCCTGGATGGCTGGCTCCACGGGAACTGCAGAGAGAGGGAAACAGATAACAAGGCGTCATCTACCACAGCACCTTCATTCCCGAGGGGGGGCAGGCAGCGGTCAGAATGCATCAGGCAACAGCTTCCGCAGCATGAAGGTGACCCCGAGGGGCCTCCAGGGAGTCGGGGGGCGTGGACGTACCTCGAACCCCTTTGGACCGTGTGCGATGACGCTTCTCCTCGGCGTCCACCTCCATCTGGGGATAGAGTAGCAGGTGGTCAGTGTCCTTCTCCCACACGCCGAGGCCAGCAGGGTGCCGCTGCGCCCCGGCATTGTAGGGACAGTGTTTGAACCTGTGCCCCTCTGTGCAGGGAGCCTCTCCAGGGGGAAAGCATCAGGCAATCCAAAGGCATAGGAAGTAACGGGCCTGACCTTGACCTTGCAGGGATGCTCAATCGGGAGGCCCTGCCTCTGTGAGGAGCCTCGAGTGCAGCCTGCATCCTCGCTTGTAAACGACTGAGTAGACACATTTGGGTTGATTCTGAGTTGAACTTTGTACCAAGAACATTCACTGGAGGTGTAGTCTGTCCAGGAATGGGTGTCACAGGACAACGACGTGCCTGGGTGACTCGCTGTCCCCAGCTCCTGGGTGCTGCTGCTACCCACACTGATCTAAACCGTCAGGAGGCTCTCAGGGACACAGGCCTTTGCTCGTGGTGACCCGTACGTCTCACTGTGGGGATGAGGACGTGTTCTCGGGCACTGCCTTGCAGGACCCTCCCAGCAGCTCTGTAAGGAAGGGCCTGCATCGCCTCTCCTGGAGATCTGACTCGCCCACGAGCATCCGATGGGAGTTCGTGCAGGGCCTGTCTCCACATGCCGTCTCTAAGACCAGGAGCACACTGCGGATGGGTCAGGGCTAGGGTTTGTGCACCCGGTATTTCCGCAGCGTGTGAATAACTATACACGCAAACTGCCCATGGGGGGGACTCCAGTGCACCCGGCGGGCTGCCAGGAGAGCAGCAAAGAGGAGACGCAGGTCCTCTGACCACAGGAGCAGAGCTGCTCAGCCCCACCTGGGACCATCCTGCCCTGCCCGGGGCCAGAGCTGCCACAAGATGCCACCTTCTCCACGGGTGCGAGTACAGCTTCGGGAAATAAAGAATGCGCATAAGAAACAACAGAAGCTTTCAATGGGCTTAATGTCCTTTCCTGGGAGATGGACGTGTTCAGATACAAGACTGAGATTTGATATAATAAGCATTTCGGAAGAGGGGGAGCCAGGGTGAAGCATGGAAGGAAGGAAGGAAGGAAGGAAGGAAGGAAGACAGGCCGCACCTGAGCTTACGTATCACCCTGGACAGAGCTTGGATGAATGAGTGAGTGAGTGAGGCCAGTGGCTGGGACCACGGCAGGTTAAGGAGGTGGCAGGAGGCAGATGAGTGCCGAGAAGAGGGGTGGAGGGAGCAGAGAGGGCAGGGCGAAGGCTGGGGCCAGCAGGAGGGGCACAGTCGACACAGAAGCTACACAGCTGCTGTTGCCCACTGAGCAGGTGGTGGGGCGGGAACACCTCACAAGCACATTTTAGACAGAAGTTCACGCGGTGCAGAGCAGGGAGGGGAGCAGAACCGAGAGGGGTGACAGTCACCGGGCTGGTCCAACGCCTGGAGTGCCGGGCTGTCCGGGGAGAGCGAGGCCAGGAAGAAGGATGTGAGCGGAGGAAACGAGAATGCGCACGAGGCAGTGCCTGTGGTCTCCCCTGTCCTTGGTCACTGGGCCCACACGGGGTCTGGAGCCGTGGACGCAGGCGCATGTGGCCCCGCAGGATGTCAACAGCACCTCGGGCAGCTTCAACGCTCTAACCTGCTGGTCTACACACAGAACTCCCAAGCCTGGTGCCATGCCAGCAAAGCCTAACGCATTGTGCAGGGGCACAGCGTGGGGTGCGGAGCGTGGAGGGCCGCCGTGTCCGGGGGAGTGGGCAGAGGCTTCCTGGTGGAGCTGAGATCTGAGCGGGTTTAAAAGCTTCATTGCAAGTTTCAGGTTTTGAAAGTGTATGGGGAGTCATGGGGGGCTGGGGGTGTCCCAGGCAGAGGGACACATGTGCAGAGACCTTGAGGGGTTATGCTAGGCAGTGGTCGGCAAACTCATTAGTCAACAGAGCCAAATATCAACAGTACAACGACTGAAATTTCTTTTGAGAGCCAAATTTTTTAAACTTAAACTCTATAGGTAGGTACATTGTTATTAACTTAATTAGGGTACTCCTAAGGCTTAGGAAGAGCCACACTCAAGGGGCCAAAGAGCCGCATGTGGCTCGCGAGCCGCAGTTTGCCAACCACGGTGCTAGAGGTTCCCTTCCTTCCACAGGGCTCAGGCTGCTCACACCTCTAGGAGGGACACAGGCCGTCTGTCAAGCGGTCCCCTGGCTCACACACCTGCGTGTGCCGCCCTGGCCGTGGCTCAGGAGAGAACCCCCCTCCCCCACCAAAGGCAGTGAGGCTGCCCTTCTCGTTGGACCTTACAGTCAACGCTGGCCTCCTTAGCTAAGAGCTCATATGACTAAGAACTGTTTTATTTTTCACTTTAAATTTGTGCCCGTTGCTTTTTATGTCTAGGGGACAACCTAGTTTTTCCCAGATGGACAGCGGATTCTGCCATTAGTCACTCGTTAGAGAAATGATACTCCCCACCAGTCCCAAGGGCCCCTCTTGCTCATGTCAGTTCCCACCACCATGGGGCCCACTTGGGGCTGCTCCGTGCTGTCCCCCCATTTACGCCATCACTCAGCCTGCTGAGTGTCAGGCTCTGGGAAACCAGCCTCTTTACTGCAAGGACATCATGAGGTGACTTAGAACAACGTCTAGCCAGCACCAGCACCAGCACCAGCAGACCAGGAAGTGATGGTTCTCTCTTTCTCCCCAGCTCAGGAAACCATAAAAGGAAGGATGGAAGCTGATTTAAATGTTGCTTCTACACAGTTGTTTCAGAACTGCCAGAGGGTCAGATGGTGCAGAAAGCAAACACTTCAGTCAACATTGTGGGGAGGGTGTTCATCCCCAGCGTGTACACCTGAGTGGTAGGTCAGAGGCCATTTAACACCTATGGGCAGCCCCACATGTTTCATTTCTTCAGGGATCACTCCTCCTCCATCCCTGCCTGCCCCTTCATCCCTGCTTCCTCCATCCTTGCCTGCCCTCTCCATCCCTGCCTCCTCCATCATTGCCTCTTCCATCCCTGCCTCCTCTCCTCTGTCCCTGCCTGCCCCTCCATCCCCGCCTCCTCTGTCCCTGCCTGCCCTCCTTCATCCCCACCTGCCCTCTCCATGCCCGCCTGCCATTTTGAAAGAAGGCCTATCTCCCATTGGTGACTGTTGGAAGCACCAGGTGACCTGTCAATGGCTCTGAGGCCAGAGCTGCAGGACCTGCGTCTGTGAGGTCAGGATGGCCCAGCAGCCTTGGTCTCACCGATCAGCTCGCATCTTTTCTGAGACTAGAGAACGTTAACCTGCCCTGGCCGGTTTGGCTCAGTGGATGGAGCGTCGGCCTGCGGACCGAAGGGTCCCAGGTTCGATTCTGGTCGGGGGCACATGCCTGGGTTGTGGGCTTGGTCCAACCTGCAGGAAGCAGCCAATCAATGATTCCCTCTCATCATTGATGTTTCTATCTCTCTCTTCCTCTCCCTTCCTCTCTGAAATCAATAAAAATATTTAAAAAAAAAAATTAGAGAACGTTAACCCGACTATCATGGCTTGGTCTCTGAGTCTCTCCAGCAATTTACATTTAGAAAAACCACCTTAAAGCGCTACTTACGCATTCACTACTTCAAGTCCAGGGTTTATTTTTATAAGGACAGGTTTTCATGGGAATTTTACATGATTTTATACTTAAAGAAAACTCTTGAATTTAAAACATTTACTTTTGAACCAATATAAGCTACCAGAATAACCTGAAGAGAGGGCAAGGGAGTTACTTTGTAAAATGTAAACTTTGCATGTGGAATCAGGATTTATTTCATGACTTTCATTTTCCCTCTTTCTCCCCAATAAAACATGCACCTTCTTGTCCAGCCAGTGTGGCTCCGTGGTTGAGAGCTGCAGTTCATGGCTTCGTGGCTTATAATGTCCAAGTTCAGTTATCCAACCTCATAGGATGAAAATAGGGAAAATCAGGCAAATAAAACAGGAAAAAAGCCGTGGTGTGTCTGCCCCGATGTTTCCTTCTCACTGAGGTGGCAGCAGTGACACACCCTCAGGGACAGAGACCCACCCACCCCAGCCGGTGCTGCTTGGTGAGGAGGAGGTCAGTGCCCACAGAGGAAGAGCAACTGAACTGGGAAAACAGAAATTCTGGGCGAGAAAAGACAAGGGAGACGCAGCGATGCGCGGCTCCGCCCTGAGACTGGGGCGGGGTGGCACTCGCCTGGTCCTGGTCCAAGCCCCACGCGGAGCGACGGCCACACGGCCCTCCCACAGCTGCTCCTCTCCCCTCTCGCTGGGCTGGCTCACGCTGTGCCTCTCACCTGGCCCTCCTCCCCGTGACCTCTGCCGACCTACAGGGACTGTCACCTCTCTCCTCCAACAGCGTCTGCACCCCCTTCTCTTGGGCACTCCACACCCGCTGGATGTCACTTCTAAATCTGTTCAGAGGCCACGGTGACCCCCACATCTATCGCTCCCACCCCAGCAAGGTCCCCGAAGCCCTGCCCACTCCCCCGCCTCCGGCTCCTCAGTTCTGCCCCAGGTGCCCGCACACTCAGGACGCTCGCTGCTCCACAGGCGGTGCCGGCCAGCGTCCGACACGCTCCGCTCCTTTCCACTGCGAGTCCCGTTTCTAGCTGCTTCCTGAGGAGGCCTCTCCCTTCCCGTTCATGTAGACACACGCGTGGCATTTCCTCCCGCAGGGCCCTCAGCGCCTCATGCCGTCCCGCCTCACGGCTGTTACCGCTCTGCCTCTAGGCCTGCAGCCTGTTGTACACCCCGCTCCCACGTGTGTGCCTGCATCATGGGCAGAGCTCTCCCTCCTCTGCTGTCGCCTGTGAGGAGAGTCTGCCACCTCCCGCATCGGCCCCGCGTTTCTCAGCAATCACCCTTTCAGTCCGAAACCTAAAAGTCTTGTCTTCGTTCCTCTATCCAATCGCCTATCACATTCTGGGTCTTGCAGTTGTCTTTCTTGTTGCCAGTTCTTTCCATCTCTCTGGACACCACCGAGCTCACACCTGACCCGTCAGGACTGAGTCCCTGTGATGGTCTCTGGGTGCATGTCCCTCACTGTTTTGCTTCCTTGTCTAGCACCACATTTACAGCTGTGATCTTATCTGCCAGTTTCCATCATGAAGAATCCAGAACGCGTCCCTGCTGACCAGCAACAGTGTCTGCCTTTCCTTCCACAAGTCCCACAGGGACAGCAGCCGCGTGTGTGTGTGTGTGTGTGTATGGGGGGGTGCACACAGGGACACTGCAGCTGTGCAGGGGCAGAAGGGCAGTCACAACCACCTCTCTCCGGCAGCCCATCTCCTGGTCCTGAGGGCAGCGCCCTCTGTGCCTAGAACATGGCAGACAGGAGCCGCTCCCCCTGTGGATGCTCACTGTCTACAGAAGCAGCCCCACCACACACACACGCTTCCTAAGTTGCTGCTTTTCATGTGCCCAAACCACAGCTACCTCTCTAGGTAAGTGCCTGTGTTAAGCTCCTTTTCTGAATGGATATGTACCATTCCCCAGAACGCATACACTGTAACTTATTGAACCATTCCTGTAAATTCCCCTACTAATGGATTTTAGGTTATTTTATTTCATATATTTGCTTTATTCCACTATACAAAGGTGCAATAAATATCACACACATTACACATATTTCCATATTACGTTTTTAAAACGACACTGTCACTACTGTTAGACGTGTGAAAATGCTTGCATTCTTAGTAACGCACGATTCTGCCCATTTGCCAAGTGCCCATCACCAATAGGTCCCACAAGTGCTTACCTCTGCGAGGGGGACCCCCCACCCCGGTCACTGCTTCATTGCTCTGCCTGAGCATGAGGTGGGTTAAACGTATTTTCTTTTTGGCCTCTTGCATTTCCTCTGCTGTGAAGTTATTCTTTCCACCTTTTGCTTATTTCTTTTTAAAAAGTCCACATTAATTTGAAATAGCTCTTTGTATATTAAGGTATTAATCTAACCCCCTTGCCCATCTTATCTGTTGCAAATATTTTCTGCTAGTCTTTTTTTTTTTTTTACTTTGCTGTGGTAATTTTCTCCATATATAACTAAACAATGTAGGTCAGCCAGCAAGCAGTCATGACCCCTGCAGGTGCATCCCTGGGCTGGCCCCGTTCTGTCCACCCAGAGCTGTGTGCTCCCAACCAGCCCACAGCGAGGCGCCTTCTCTAACTGGCAGCTGCCTCTGCCTGACCTGCCCACCCCTCAGGGGGACACGAACAATAAAGAGACCACATGAGCGCGAGGAGAGAACTGCCCTGAACAAGCGGCACCTGCTGCTCCCCGACCTGGGCAGGCAGGTCCCCGAGACACTTCTGAGACGCCTGGTCTGTGTTAGCATTTCCACCCTAACTTCCCCCTCACTGAGATTTTGATGAAGTGTTAGTAAGAAAATAAAATTCAAAGATTCAAATATGTTTTGACATAGAAAACTATTAATAGAACTGGACATTTATATCAATATTTAAATTATCCTTGTGATTGTCTAGTTCATTTTTTAAATTCAGTGTTTTAAAATATGTTTTACTTATTTTTTAAGGGGCAGACAATACTATAAGAATAAAGAACAGAAAAACGATAGAAGCTTATGTCTGCAAGTGATAACATATATAATCTGTGAGCTCCGTTTATGGCCACTGGAGATAAAATACAATATCCACAGAGGAAGGGTTACCCGAAGGGTCGGAAGAGACCCTGAAGGACCAGCGTGGACCAGAAGGCAGAGAGGAGTGAGTGCCCGAAGGCGGCGGCAGGGGAGGAAGGAGCATGAGGTGGGACGACAGGGTTCTGAAGGGGACACCGGATGCAACATGGCCTCCCTGGGAAGTGGTCAAGCCTACAGGTGACACTGTCTAGCTGGGGTCCACCCACCAGGTGGTGGGATGTGAGACTGAATGACGCTCAAACCCCTCCTGCCCCCCTTTGTCTGAATTTGGGTCATGAATGAGATCAAAGGGGAATTTTTGGAGAAGTTTCAGGAGGAAGGTAGGATGACAGACACACCTCCACAGACTCTGCAGTGGACGGGCCACGAGGAAAGTGCTGCCCAGGACTGTCCCCGAAGGGGCAGAGACAGATAAGAGCTTGCGGGGGGAAGAAAGCCGCTCTCTCTTCTTTTACATGCAGGACAGGTGGGTGCCCATCACAGAGGGAGAGGTGGCAGCTGTCAAAGAGAAGGGCAGGGAAGGCCCTCATGGTGGCAGCCGAGGAGGAGGAAAGGTAGAGGCACTGAGATAAGGGGGAAGAAGGCGGGAAGGGGAGGATGCAGAGGTCAGGGGGCGGCAGCTGTGGCTCCGTAAGGAAGCAGCCTGACAGGTGGTCCAGACCAGACGTCGACCTGTGAGCACCGGGCAGGCCTCACATGCGCACAGGGCACACAGGCTCGCTGTGCAGACGGGCGGTGCCGCCTAGGTGGGGCCTGCACCCCCCGGTGAAGGCACCTGCTTTACCTTGCAGGAAGTCTTCTCTCCTAGGAATGGAGGCAGCGTGACTGTGGGCAGGACACAGGCCCAGGGGCAGGGTTCTCTCTAAGCTCTAATCCTGGTCCTCGCCAGCTGTGACTATGGTGAAGTCACTTAATTTCTCTGTGCCTTGATTTCTCCATCTGCAAAACATGAACAACAATGCACAGCACCAATGATTGCACCAGCTCATTAGGAACAAGTGTAAATAGAGAGCATGCCCTTTGCAGTGGTCAGCAGGGACCCTCAGCTTCCTCCAGGATCAAATGCCTTCTCTCCTACCCACGGACAGAGGTTCCCCTGGAGAATTCTTCTCCTGGACTTGGAGCCTACTCTTTCGGCTCTGAGAAAGGGTCTCCCAGGCCTTGCTCAGTTGGTCCTGTCTGGGACCAGCCCTGTCTGGGAAGGATTGCTCCTGCCAGCTAAGTCAGTCTGAGAGACGTTCTGCTCTACCTGAGAACATTCTAGAACTCCTGGTTCTGGGGCCCAGTGGCCCTCCAGGCATCCTTTCATGGCTGCCCTTCCTAGGTCTGGGATGGCAGCAGCCTACACACAGCATGGCAGCACAGATCCCGCCTAGAATGCACACGTCATCCTACGTAGTCTGTGATCTGTCTGGGGACTGCAGGGGCTGGAGCACTGGGCTGGTCTCCATATAGTTGGTAGAGCTGGAAGTTAAAGTTTAAGAACATTCTTTTCTTATCCACTGTCATTTGTCCATCAACAAAACTTCCTGCTAATTTTATGAATGAAGAACTGACACTAACAGAGGCTGTAAGATTTGCTCAAAGCTACCCAGGTAGTCAGAGGGAGCGCCATGATTGAAATCTCGCTCTCTTATTGGCAAATCTAGGACTCCTCCCACTGTCAAAAGTCCCCTGAAAACACACCCCAGGAAGAACCTAATGGGCGAGACCAAGGCGAGGATTTGAGTCCCATGGTCCTGGATGGCCTGTGGGTGGGGCGCTGAGTCCTTGCAGCTAACACCTGGGTGGGCTCATTCCCTCAGTGCTTCTTGCTCCTGTGGCTTATGGGACGAAACCGCTCCAGGCTGTTCTAAACCACAGCCTCGTCAAGAGCACAGGTCAAGTGCACCAAGTCTGGCGATGCTCAGAGATGACGCAGAGGAACTCACAGTGACACTGCACTTAACCAGCAGCATAACACTAGAACAGGACATCAACGTTCCTTGTAACTTCTCATTCGAACAACAGGCAACGAGATAGTTGAGTGAAGAGACAGAGGCATCAGGATCCTCTTCCTCAGAATCCAGCAGCCCTCCCTGCTCCTGGGAAGCAGGTCTTGTCTGCTTCTCTGGCCCCCAGGAACGGAGCATAACTGGGGGTTATTATTCCGCGACAGGCTGTGTAACTAATAAGACCATCAAATGTCTTGATAGACATTCAGGTCACTTCCTGTGTTTTCTAAACGAATTCTGCCCTGTGGACATTCCTGCTGTATGTCCTCCTCCAGCACAGGCCTCAGGCTTCTCAGCCTTTAAACCTGAACAGAACTGGACAAGCTGCCCCTCAGCGTGAGCTGGTGCCTCCGCCTGGTGGCAGGTGCATGCCGGACAGTCCCCAAGTCTGACCCACTACTGCCCTTGCTACCATTTCTCTCTCCTCTTCTGGGAGCGACTGACTGTGCCCGTTGCCTTTGACACATGTTGATATTTAACCTGGATATTTATTCTTTTCATGTTAAACCTCCTCGGTCCACCTCTGGCCTCGTTAGACTCTGACGCGTGCTGTGTGCCTCCTGTCTGCTCTCCTGTCTGCAGACGAGAGGACTGTCCTCGAAAGGGACAGGACTCCTCCCTCCACCACAAAAGGGCTCTCTGCAGCGTGACAGACGTCTCCCTCGGGACTAGGATCCACTGTTCAGGGGCCAGGTGAGCACCTGCCTGGGACTGGACTAGCTCTGTGACCAGCACAGTCAAGTGAAGATGGACAAAGGAGTGAGCACCTGCAAGGAACTGGCCAGCGGGGCTCCGGCAGCACAGGGGGGGGCAGCACAGGGGGGTGCTTCACTCGGGAACGTGCCTTTTCTAAGGAGGGTGCCTGGGCTCCGACCCAAGGACAAGCCAGATGGCCGAGTGGGATGCAGACCGAGAACGCGCAAGTGCGCACGCCCAGGGAGAGGGAGTTTAGGGCGCGCCATCACAGGCTGCCGATGTGCAGAAGGGGTGTCGGTGCCATGTGCGTGCGGCGAGGGGTTTCAAAGGGTTCCAAGTCCGAGTCGGGGCGAAAGTGATACAATTCCTGTTTCCACCGGCTCCTGTGCCTGGTCCTGTTTGTTCTCCCTGGAAACCAGGAGGGTCTTCTTCTCCCCACAGAGTGAGGGGCACCTGCCCACTGGGGAGCCCACCCGCCTCCAGTTTCAGCTCAGCTTGGGGGTATCTTCTCATGTACGTCTAATGCCCTGTATTTTACAGGATAGTTTTTCTTTGTCAGATTCAGAATTCCACACTATTAATTTTAAAGTCTTTAAATAAAACACACAAATCCAACCAGGTAATAGGGGCAGGACAAGCACGGAGAGACACTGCCTCTTGTCCATCTATCAGACCTTCTCCAGGGTTGGAATGCCAGACGATGCTGACGCGTGAGGTCAAATCCGTCCTTATTTATCCATCAAAAAATACCATTTTTCGGCCTGCAAGCTGACACAGTCAAATTGGTCAAATGCGATAGAAGATGGACCTTCCACGCGTGCGTGACCAACAGTGACAGGATGCTTTATCTTAAAGTGCCACCACCGCTGAGAAGGGACCATGTCCTCACAGGCAGGCTGTTCCCCACTCTGGAAGCCACCAGCTCCACGACCACCGCGAGGAGGCCCTGCACTGGGACAGCAGTGCCGCCACCATGTCTGCAAACGCCGTGTTTCCCAAACCTCATTATGGTACAACTGGGTGTCTCATAAACTCTTACGTTGAAGTCCTAACCCCAGGACCCTGAATGTGACCGAAATCAGGTCACTGCCCATAAATAAGTTAAGATGTGGTCATACAGACGAGGGTGGGCTTTTATAAAAGGGGGTTTTGGACAGAGACACACAGCAGGGAGAGCACGCTGCGACCAGCGAGGAAGAGCGCAGATGCCGCTACGGGCCAGGCTGCCACTGACTCGGGACGCCAGACGCCTGAGCGTGGGAGCAGATGCTCCCTCCCGCTCAGGAGGAACCTGCCGGGGGCACCCTGGGCTCTGACATGGACTTCACCCTCCAGGCTGTGAGACAATGAACCTCCGCTGTCCGCAGACTGAGCAAGGGCACCACCGCTGGGTCCCTCACCCCTCAGAGGCCCTGCCTGTCAGTCTGGGGGTGAGGGTCGCTATTGGGGCTCTGGGGAAGGAGCGTCCGGGTACCACCTGTGACCCTCCTCACTCCATTCCTGGCTCTTACTTCAAAGCCACTGACAACAACCTCCATTGGGGGTTTTCATTTGGATGGAGTTGAAGGTCAAGGGTCACAGCCAGGGCCTAGCCTGAGGCCTGGCTCTCTGTCTCTGGCCAGCCTTGCAGGCTGAGGGCGTCATAGGCCCATTTCCAATTGCCCTTTTCCATTCAGATGGCACGCTGCCAACGCTCCAGCTGTCTCCGGAGAAAACGGGGTGACACAGGAGTAGTAAACCTTTCCCACATTCTCTCGTGTCCCAGGCTGAGCCTTCCCATGGCCTGAGGAGAAGGAGGGTGGCTAGAGCTGGAATCCAAAACTAAGACACATCTGCCAGTAGTCATGCGTTTTGACGGCTGTAAGGAGTCCTTGAGTGTCAGAACGAAGGATGGAGAAAGCAGGAATGGAGCTAAACCATGGTCATAGGTTAGAAGGAAAACAGGAAGTGAGCTGGGCAGTTTTAACCTGTGGGAGGGAGGGGTGCAGCTCACTGGCTGGGAGAAGAGAGGGACCCTGCAGGAGAGCGGAGGCAGGAGGCATTCCCACGGCTGGGCTGGGCATCTGTGGAGGCTCCAAGCCCTGGACAGCAGCTGCCTGCCTCCGTGCACAGCCTTCGATCTGAAGAGGCTGTCGGTGGGCCTCTTGCTGTGGGCAGGGGCAGGTCACCAAGGGCTGCCTAGACGTGGCCTGTGCACCGTCCATCCTGGGAGATCTCTGTGCTGAGCTCCACCCACAATCTGTGTGGACCTTCCCATCCTGCAGCAGTTCTGACTGGGTGAGCCTCTCCTACAGGTGGGACTGCTCCCTGTGCACACACCTGGGGGACCAGCCTCTCCCACAGGTGGGACTGCTCCCTGTGCACACACCCGGGGGACCAGCCTCTCCCACAGGTGGGACTGCTCCCTGTGCACACACCCGGGGGACCAGCCTCTCCCACAGGTGGGACTGCTCCCTGTGCACACACCCGGGGGACCAGCCTCTCCCACAGGTGGGACTGCTCCCTGTGCACACACCTGGGGGACCAGGCGACGGGAGGAACCTGAAAGGCTGCGCCCCGCTCAGAGCACCATCCTGGGCAGTCGGCTCTGACCCAGAGCCATGCCTGAGCCACCTACCTCAGGCTGTCAACACAAGCTTCCAATCAGCCTGGAGCGAGGGCATTCCTTCCAGGGGAGCCCTTCCTTCAAAGAGAGGCATGGGCAGGGACAGGGTTAACGTGATGCGCTGCCGAAGGTCCCTTTGAAACTGTCTAATTTTAAAGTCTCTCAATTAAAACAGAAATTCGGGGCAAAATTTTCCTGGCCGGCTTGCTTTCCTTACACATGAAAAGTGTGGACTCTTCTGAGAAGGTACTTTACATTGATTCAAAATACTCCCTCTCAACAAATGCCAGTTTCTGTAATTCTGAATTTTTTCATCTTGACTATAATAAAAAAATCAGTATACTGTATCTACCTTCTGCCACTGCTCCTACTGAAATTACTTCCCCAAAGGTGCCCAAACCCCAAACCCAGGCGTGCTTTCTCCCTGCGGCCCCTGACGCGTCCCGTCTCTCACTGCTCCTGAGCCCCTTCTCCTGTGGGGGTGCAATTCACCTCCTCATTTTCAAGCTGCTCTTCCTACCCCCAAATTTAGATGCTCCCAGAATTCTGTTCCCGAGTCTCCGCTTTCATTCTTGGTGACTCTGTTCACTGCATGAACTTAACTTTTACCTCTAATTAAACAACTCATCCAGCTTTGCCTCCAA